ACTTCTTTGTCTGAGAAATGTCTGTTCATTTCAGATGCCCATTTTTGAATTGGGTCTTTGAATTGGGAGTGTCTGGTTTTTTTCAGTTCTTTATATATTCTAGATAGTAGACCTTTGTCTGAGGAGGTGCAGCTGCTAAAAATTTTTTCCCAAATTGTAGGTTGTCTCTTAGCTCTGTTGGTGGTTTCTCCTGCAGAGCAAAAGCTTTTTAATAAGATGAGATCCCAGGTATTGGTTCTTTGTGCTAGTTCCTGTGCTACTGAGGTTTTGCTCATAAAGTCTTTTCTTATGCCAATGTCTCTCTTAGAATAGAATGGCTTTTTCTCTTTCTTTCTTTTTTTTTTGTATCAGGGACCAAACTCAGGACCTCATGCTTGCCAGGCAGGTGCTGTGCCACTGAGCTACATCCCTTAGAGTAGCTTTTTAAGTTATCCACCTCTATGTAATATATAAAGAAGCTCCTGGGGGCCGGGGACTTAGCTCCGTGGTTTCGCCGCCTGCTGCGCAAGCGCAAGGACCCGAGTTCGATCTCCGGTACCAAAAAAAAAAAAAAGAAGCTCCTACCTAATTTGGTATCTTTTAATAGGATCTCATTGAAGAAGCATGTGACATTGTCTGGACTGCTCAGTGTTTGAGCATCTCTAAGTGTAATCACACATATATAACATACACATCACATAAGTTTTTATTTTTTAAACTATCATTTGACTGGAGGTCTCATGTTGGTTCGACATATACCTTTTATCACAAGTATTTGGAGCACAAAAGAAAGGTAGATATCTGAGTAAAGAAGGCTATCAACAGAAACAGTCTTAGTTTTATATATTAGAAGATCTGTACACCTGGAAGGCATGAATACATTTAATACACCATGAGATTAGCAATAATGAATGGTATAATTATATGGAAACCTTTGTCTCGTCATTTAGTTTCATACTAAGAGCACTTTTAATAAGAAAACCTTAGTGTTTTACCCACAGAAAGCTTTAGCTTTTGATGACAACCAATATAAATGTATTACAATAATGTTTAGCAATGTTCATTGGGCCCTCCCATAGGGCCATGAAAAACATTGGTTCTCCTTAGTGAACAAAGGCTGGATTAAGGCATTTTTAGGTTGCTGCTCCTATAATTGCCAAGAGGGGTCCTGTCCAGCAGTTTTCCTAAGCCTAAGGGGTCCCCATTTCATTGTCTTAACAAATTTTAGATGACCTATGAGAACTAGATTATAACAATTAACAAATTTTAGATAGTTGTGAGAAATAGATTATAACTATTAACATTATTTTATTTTTTTTTATACATGAATAATTAATTATGTGAAAATTTATTCAGATCAAATTATTTAAACTTACATCCATAAAGAAACATTAAACATCGAGATCAGAAATAAAGAGTAGAAATCGTTTACTTCTTTTGAGGCATGGAGTGGATCATACAAGCCTGACTGTGAAAAATAAATGCTTTTCAAAGTTGCTACTTAAACTCTGTATATACAAGTATATGTTGTCTATAGTTTGCTTATAGAGAATCCAATTCTAGCAAGGTAACTTGAGTAAACTTTCTTGAGTTTTACACCCTGGCTCTCAAGTCTGAAAGCTTAGATTTGATTATAAACATGGCACATTGATTACCTTCATTTCCTCCAAATGCAATCAACTTTTAAAATAAGTTAGACAAATATCAATTTTCCATGGATCTCATAGAAGGTAGAAGGAAATTGCAATTCTCATCTAATTGCAGAATCGAGGACAGACTGCTGTCGGGTCAAGCAAGAAGCCTGTTAAAGACTGTGGTTCAGCAGGGCCTACTCAGGGACAAGTCTGAAAACCTATCATTACCTTAGTACTCAATGGCTGTACAGGAACTGTTTTCAAGTATGCTCCCACGGTAACTGCTTCATGAAGGATTAACCTGCAGAAGGCACATGACAGGTATTACCTACACTTTACAGGAAATGAAGGCAAAGGAAGATCTCAGATTGAGAATATTCAAAATTCAAAAATATATATTCAATGTATACCATCAAACTATAACTATTACAGGAGTTCTTAACTAGGTTCACAAATAGTGTATGCATTAGGATCTA